AGAGAGAGGGGAAGAGAGAGAGGGGAAGAGAGAGAGGGGGAGAGAGAGAGGGGAGAGAGAAGAGAGGGGGAAGAGAGAGAGGGGGGGAGAGGGGGGGAGGGGAGGGGAGAGGGGGGGGAGAGAGAAGAGAGAGGGGAGAGAGGGAGAGAGAGAGGGGGAGAGAGAGGGGAGAGAGAGGGGAGAGGGGGAGAGAGAGGGGGAGAGAGAGAGGGAGAGAGAGAGGGGAGAGAGAGGAGGGGAGAGAGAGAGAGGGGAAGAGAGAGAGGGGGGAGAGAGAGGGGAGAGAGAGAGGGGAGAAAAGAGAGGGGAAGAGAGAGGGGAGAAAAGGGGGGGGGAGGGGAGGAGAGGGGGAGAGAGAGGGAGGAGAGGGGAGAGAGAGAGAGAGGGGAGAGGGGGAGAGAGGGGAGAGGAGGAGAGAGAGGAGAGAGAGGAGAGGAGAGAGAGAGAGAGAGATAAAGAAAGAGAGAAAGAGAAAGAAGAGAAAGAAAAAGGAAAGAGTAAAGAAGTAGGAGAAAAGAAAGAGAAACGAAGGAAAAAAAGAGAAAGAGAAAGAGAAGAAAAGAGGAGGAAAGAGACGAGAAAGAGAGAGAGAGAAAGAAAGAGAGAAAAAGAGAGAAGAGAGAGAGAGAGAGATGAGAGGAGAGAGAGAGACGAGAGGAGAGAGAAATTGAAGAGAGAGAGAGGAGAGGAGATATGAGGAGACGACGAGAGAGAGAAGAGAGAGATCCTTGTAAGATATTGAGACAATAATCTCAAGACAAAACGACAGAGTTTTTTGAACTTCCACTCAATACTTTGTGATAGTTCAATATGGCTTCAGGAAAGGTTACTCTGCTTGCTGATCTGTTGTTAAACCTACTCCTCTAAGTGGCACCAGTCACTGGATGAATAAAGTCAGCTGTGTGGTAGCATGGACAGTGCTGGCGCTTTCGACGGGCTGTGGCTCCAGGGCCTCTGCAAAACTTCATGCACTGGGAATGCAGGCTCTACGCTATGTCTCCTCAGTGATTACCTTCATGGTAGATCTCTCAAGTGTAGTTCTTCAATGGAACGGTAAATCAGCAAGACATCCCTAATGGGGCAGTGTTCCACAAGAAGCAGTGCTGGGACCATTGTTATGGAATGTCTACTTCAATGACCTTCTTTCATCTCATCCAGAAATTCAATGCATATGCAGAGACTGTGCACTGACATTCACTTATCAAGAGAAGAAATGCTAGCAGCTCTAAGCTACATTCATTCACCAGTGAGAGCTATATCAGCTTGGGGAAATAGATGGCAAGTAACTTTTGCACTGAGAAAATGCAAATGATGATAGTCTCTGGGAACCAGGATGGTATTGCTGGTGCAGTAGTATGGATGAATGGAGGGTGTTGGCACCTGGAGAAGAGTTGATATCCTTGGGGTGAAATTTGGACTCCAAACTAACCATGAAGAAACATGTTGTAAATCTTGCAAACAAGGCAGCCAGGAAGCTTAAAGCACTTCGCCGTATCTCGCATCTGCTTGACGTAGGGGTGCATGATTCGTGTACGAGGGCACAATAGGACGCTCTCACCTTGAGTATGCTCCATCTTTCTTGGTTTTTACCTGCCCCCCCTTCATCTGCGACTGCTTGACAGGAGTAGAGTACAGAGCAAGAAGTCTCATCTCTCGCCTGGGGACCCATTTGGATAGATCTGTCACTTCACAGATCCTTCAACATAGGAGGGGATCGTAGTTGGCCTTAATTCTATGTACTAGGCCAATAGTGTCAAAAGTACCACACTTGGATCCCTTTGAGGACAGCATGAAACAAGCTTTTATGTCTCAAGTCGGGCAGAAAGCAGCAACTTCACTCTGGCTGTTCCCCTTCTCCAGAACATCACTCCATCTGATATCATATATACCCAGGATGACTTGAGTATGGAACACATTCGTACAGCATAATGATGTCAATGAGATAAAGTCAGCTGATCAAATGAAAATGCTGGCCCACAGATGGCTCCAACTTCATCCTGTCCCCTACTTGTATGTCTCATAGCAATAAAAATGCTTTCAGATGAGCTAATGTAGGTAACAGCTCTTAGCTTGCCAATAAAGTTAGGAATTCTTAACCTGTAAATAGCTTGTCAATAAAGCTAGGGATCCTTAACCTTGTCAAACCTTATGTAAAAAAAAAAAAAAAAAAAAAAAAAAAAAAAAAAAAGATGGACAATGTACAGAGGTTGTTTACTGCTTACAAAGAATCAATACAACATCCGAATTACTGGGAATGCCTCAAAGGACTTGGATTATTCTCTTTGGAATGAAGAAGACAGAGAGACATACCTGGTAATATACTATATACATGGAAGATACTTTAGGACCTGGGCACCAATGTGCAAACTGCCATAACAGCTAACTGGAGTGGAAGATGTGGGAGAAAGTGTAGATTACACCCGGTGGAAAGTAAGGGTGCCATAAGTACAATTAGAGATCACTCTGTGGCCCAAGACTTCAACCAGTTACCAGCAGGAATATTAAAAAAAAATGCCAGAACGAAGGTAGAATTTTTTACTAGGAAAGTCAACAACTACTATCTGCAAGAATTGAGACACTTGTGCAACATATGGGAATCTTTATTGAAGAAACGTTTTGCCACACAGTGACTTCATCAGTCCTATACAAAGCATGAAGGTATAAGGAGAGGAGGAATTTGAGGTAATCAGTCCCTCAGCCAGGAGTCGATGTGTTCAGTTCATCAATCTTGTAGAAAGTACAGCACAGGGCTGTAGAAATGGCTTATATACTGTAGTCAGGTGAGGTGATGCAGGAGGAGGCGGGGGTCATAGTGGAACCATCCACTAGTCTAAGTAGGTCTTCGTCCAAAGGTTAGACAAGTTTTGAAGAGTTCTTTGCATCAAGATCCCATGATGCTGCAATGTCTGACAGATGTGATAAATGGTTTTGTAAACCGACAGCTTGAAGAATTGAGACACTTATGCAACATCTGTCAGACACTGCATCATCATGGGATCTTGATACAAAGAATTCTTCAAAACTTGTCCAACCTTTGGACAAAGACTTACTTAGACTAATGGATGGTTCCACTATAACCCCACGTCCTCCTGCTTTGCCTCACCTGACTACAGTATATAAGCCACTGCTACAGCCCTGTGTTGTACTTTCTACAAGACTGATGGCCTGAACACATTGACTCCAGGCTGAGGGACTGATTACCTCAAACTCCTCCTCTCCTTATACCTTCCTGCTTTGTATAGGACTGATGAAGCCACTGTGTGGCAAAACGTTTCTTCAATAAAGATTCCCATGTTGCATACGTGTCTCAATTCTTCAAGCTGTCGGTTTTCAAAACCATTTATCACATACTATCTGCAAATTCCTGATCAGCCAGTTTGTGTTAGTCAGATAGGCCTGTAAGACACTAACATAAGCAGCTGGTGACCAAGGGGGTCAATAGGGAAGCCTCACCTGAGGTCAGGCTGAAGGGATAGAAACTTCAAAACATGTCAGGTATGTCACTGGTTAAGTATACACCTCTGGTGAAACTGAGTACATTTCTCAGTGAAATTAAGTACACTCGCAGGTGATACTGGTTAAATACTCAGATGAGACTCAGTACACACCCAGAAGCTGAGTACACTACCAGGTAAGGCAAAACACCCAGGTGAGGCTGAGTACAATCCCAGGTAAGTCTAAGTATACATCCAGGTGAGGGTGAGCACACACCCATTGAGTCTTGTAGTCTCTTACACAGAAATGTGTCATTTCAGTCATTCAAAACACAGACCAGTATAAAGAATAGCATTGCATGAACTTTGAAGGGTCACTTTCAGGAAGTGTGTGTCAAGTGATAAAGAGATATTAGAGTATTTTGAAAGAAAGATATGTAACAGATGCATATATGCAAGTTGCTACATAGAGCTAGATTAAATACAGAAGTAGTGTATAACAATGGCTACCAGAAACCATAGTTTAGCAATTTTGAGAAACAGACCTGAAACAAATGCAGTAAAAGACAGCAACTTCATTCAAATTATTAACACTGGAGGGTTAGCAATCCAAAATAATCCAAGAAAATCAAGTGGTGTGATTTATTTTTGTTGGGGTCCTCAGGTCCTCTCCCCCTAGAATACAACCTATGGCATTCAACTAAGTCATATTACTATAATCATTAGGACGCTTTAAGCACACAGGAATCACAGTTGTCATGGCCATGGAAAATACTGTAATTACATTTGAGCGAAGGAATCAAAGAGTATCTCCATTTCATTGGATGAAGAGCCCTTCAAATGCATCAAGGTATCCTTCCTTCTTAAATGGACTAACTCCTAGGTGCAATACCTATATCTTTTTAAGTAAACAGAAGCACAAGGAGGGAGAAGTGTGCATACGTCTCACCCTGACCAGGATTTGAACCTGGGTTCTTTTGGTTGTGCAATATGCCCTACGTCTAGGCTACAAAAAATGGAAGCATTAATTTTTTTTGCCTGTATATCTCACGTAACAGGAGTCAAGAAAATGAGCAATTTCAATGTACAAAACAGAGTTCTTGGGTAGTACAAGCAAGTGACGAGGACATTTTATCAATGAACTACTACAGGTAGATAAGATAAGATTTTGTTTGGATTTTTAACCCCAGAGGGTTAGCCATCCAGGATAACCTGAAAGTCAATGTGTCATTGAGGACTGTCTGTCTTATTTCCACTGGGGTCCTTCAATCTTGTCCCCAGGATGCAACCACACCAGTCACCTAACACCCAGGTACCTACTTGCTTGCTAGGTGAACAGGGACAGCAGGTATAAGGAAATGTGCCCAATGTTTCCACCCAGCCAGGGACTGAACCACAGACACTCAGTGTGTGAGGCAAGTGCACCACCTACCAGGCCACAAGACACTGTGGCAGATGGTGTAAAACATACACATACACATGAATACAACCATTATACTACCTTTATATTTTATCATTGTCAATAAATATTTTACATGAGAATTCCTGCTGACAGTAAAACAAATGTAATTGAAATAAATGTATTTTAAATTGCATTAACTACAGTGTCATTACTGTTAATACCATGAACCATGAAGTTCATCACAACCTCTCTGCTGTAATCATCACAAAGAAACACAAGCTCCACGAAATATAAAGAAATAACATTAGTTTGCTACCTCTCCAACTCTGACTTAACCCCTTTGTGCATACCTCCCCCTTCACAAGCCTTTTTCCCTGCAGTTTGAAGCTGTATAACTCATTTGTGTTTAGAGCTTTCTTGTGACTATGGTAATAATCTGCTACATCTATCTTCATAAATTTTAAGATGGTACTTTGCATGATATCAGCTGAAAGAAGAAAATTATTGAAATTAATAAATTATTCCCCACTTGACAAGCTGAATAAAAGTTAGCCTTGATCACCCATTAATTAATTTTTTATATAGTGTATGTTATACTTGTACAACTCTAGCAAATAAGCTCACCCTTCACACTTCTTCATGAAGTTAGCACACCTTTACCATGTAGTGCAAAGTCTCTGACCTATGCTGATTTAGATATCCTATTAATTTTTTTAACATCCTTGTATTTTTGCATTTCCACACTACAAACATTTTTATTTGTCTCTCACTCAATGCCATCCTTAGCTTTTTGACCATTCTGTTTTTCAAGGCATTGCAATCAGCAAGTGTTTTAAATGCTCTTCTAAGTTATTTAAACATAACAGAGACTGACATCCATTTATAATTTGACATAAAACTGCTTGTTAATAAAGGCATATCAAGATAGAACAAAGTATAAAAGATATGCACAGAGATAAAAATTAATTATTTGATATAATGGATGAACCAAACATATATGCAATTGGCTTTCATTTCTCAGCAATAGCATTGCAGCAGTTAAGAGTTTCATAATCACTACTTAACTCTTTGATAAGCATCTCCAAGAGTGCAGAGTTCCTGCAAGATCCCAATCCTACTAAATATTTTCCTACTTTGTCACCTACAAAAATATAATTTATACACAAGACTGTTCCTCATCAACCTCTCACACTTAATCTTTGTGGAGGGAAGGATCAATGGCATACCCCATTTCCCCCATTCAGTCATTAACATAATCTAATTAATATCAACAGCAATAAGAAATCCCCTAATTGAAATGTATAATCTGATAATTGCATAGCTCCTAACATATGAAAAAATAATGTATTAAATTTCTAAAACCAATCAACTAAAGGCTTTCTGTTCTTCTCTCTTACTAATATCTTATCTAAACTTTTAAGACAATGGTCTTCATTATAATAATAACCAAGTAAAGCTCTAAGCCTGTATAGATTACTCAGCATTGCATAGCAAACTGGTAGCTTCTATTGGGAATTAAAAAGGAAGATGCAGAGGTGTTGAGGGTCAGCAAGAGAGCCTGAGAAGGAAGTCAGTATAACTGATGGGTCTCGCTCAAAAGTCAACAAGATAAGGCGAGATTTAAAGCTGAGGCTTTTGATGGAGGAGGAGGACAGAATACCATAACCAGGATATTAAAGTAGAGTACCAGAAGGTTGGCATGGTGTCTCATGAATGGAGCAACCAATCTAAAGATGTGGACCTGCAACATGTCCTAACAATTGCCACATAATGACACTGGACACCATGATGAGATATGACCATGATGAGATGGGGAGATGACCATGAATGTCTGGTGACCAACACCAAAGAAGACCAACTTCCAAAATCATAATGGCAATTGTAAAATGACAAAACCAGTGCACTATCCCCTATATCATGCCAGACTAATATGATTCGTCCAGCCATGTATATTTCTATACACACTAGGAAGATTAGCATGGATCCTACTGTGACCACAAATGAAGGTTTTTACAGACGAATCTCACACTAACATTGCTGTGGTATGCTCTAGCTCAAGTTCCTTCAAAGCCGTTTAACCCTTTGAGGGTCGACAGGCCCTCTCCGAAACTCGTTCTCAGGGTCGGCCAAATTTAAAAAAAAAAAAAATATTTTCTCTTATGAAAAGATAGAGAATCTTTTCCCGATCATAAAGACACCAAAAGTTTGAAATTTGATAGAAAACTTACGGAATTATCCTCTCGCAAAGTTAGCGGTCTCGGCGATGTTTACGCATCGGCGATTTTGCCCACTTTGAGCCCCATTTTCGGCCAATTTCAATGTACTAGTCAACAAAAAACATGAATATTTCGCTAGAACTCCATTTTTTCTATCGAATGGGTGCAAGAAACCACCCATTTATGAAATTCAACTATCCAGTACAGTGGTCAGAATTTAGCAATTTTGCCAATTTCACACAAATTTCAAAAGATGCCAATTTCCGAATAGGGTCCAGAATAAACAAGAAAGACATTCCTGGCACTAAAATGACATTTCCTCTAGTCATTAGTCACGTCTCAAGGCCCCTCTTATATTCTTTTGCTTTCCACTTTGAATTTTTATTCTCACAAAAAATATAAGATTTACTGTTATGCAGACTACTGCATTAGTGTAAAAAATGGTATAAATATTATTGGTGCACTTGTGAAAGAATATTAGACTCACCAGTTGATGTGTATTGCACGCTTGGCACGATTTGTTTACTTTTGAAGTTTGGTAAAAATCGAACATTTCTGCTACTTTGAGCTCAATTTCAAGGCACCTTTCATTGTAAAACCAGTCAAATCATCTCAATTTCTGTAATATGTCTTCCATTCTATAAAATGAGACCAGAAAAACTAGAATACAACAATAAATACCATACGAAAATACACTGCAAAGTCGCTGATTTATTCCAAAAAAATGGTCGAAGTTTTTTTTTTCTCATTATGCACTGTCTGCTGCAGGATTTTTTTTAGACTGTGCACACTGACCACATAGACCCATTCTTTCATATGAAGGCCTACCAGCTTTCTCCCACTAGATTTGAGGCCGCTAGAATTTATGCGTACTAGTACGTCAAAAACCCCTACGCGTAAGACGTACTAGTACGACCAAAACCCTCAAAGGGTTAAAAGACTCACGTAACCGTAATGACATGGTTGTCAACAACTTGTAGAATAGAGCAGGTTTAAATCCACTTATGCAGAAATACACCTAGGCTACCATACTAGAGTTGATAATGCACCAGCCTCCTAGTTTTAGGACTGGCTATTTGAACCCCACTCCATTCTTTGAATTAGCAATGTAAAGTGTTTGGCAAGAAGCTTAATTAAGTTTGATTAAATGCAACTTGTTGGTTACTAAGACAGGTGATGCTGCCAGCGGTCTCACAAGAGCTGAGTTAATACCAGAAAATTGTCTGTAAAACACAGCTGCCTAAGAGAGATGAAGGTCCTGAACTGCAGAATGTGCAGTTTGTAAATTCACTGATCTGAACACGCCAATGGCCAGACACCCAGCCAAGGATGACTATCTTGTGTTTGATGAAGATGTTACAGCCTAAGTTAAATACTAAGGATATGGGGATGTGAAGAATCAAAGGTCTAGATTACTTGCAATGCATTAAGACTACAACAAATGATATTTTGTAACTAAATGTGAACAAATCTGAGAATTCAGCAATAATTTTATAATAAATGTTCAAGAAATGTACAAATATTTCATCTATAATTTCAAATTGCCAAAAGTCTTCACTAAATACAGGTTTGCCCTCACATCATGTGGATTCACTTTATGTGAAATCACTATTATGCAATGTTTTTTTCTATCAGTAACTCCATATACTTGATGTACATTCACCATATGAGATCAGTGTGGTTTGCAAAAGGAATGAAAATTCTAACTGCACAGAATGAAGTGTTGATGATGTGATGGAGCTTAGTACAGCTGCCATGGACCTAAAACATCTCTACTGAAAAAAGTAAGGGACAGCACATAGTAAGCTAATTTCCCCCTAATGCATTTAGCTCATTACCCCTAATCTGATTAGCCATAATGCCCTTCACTAGGGGAGGTGCTTTTATGATTAAAAACTCTTGGATTTATGAAAGTGGAGCTACCCTCCCCTTCCTTGCATCAAACCTGGTACTGTACAGCTCTTTCAAGTTTCATGCTTCCCAATTATTATAAAAATAATACAGTAATTAGCCAAAAGTAATGCTGAGGTCAAATTCGTTAAACCTATTATATAGTTCTCAAATCTTGCTAAGCCAGCCTTCTGGCAAGACAGTGACTGAACGAATGACAGTGAAAGTGTTTCATTCTTTGTTGGGTCACCCTACCTCAGTGGGAGATGGCCAGTTAGTATATATAAAGAAAAAGTCCTGCCCAAAGTTTAGGTATGGGATGTCATAAAACTAACAAATCAATCAATGATGGATGCACAATTTGATAACTCAAAACTAGATTCAAATTTTAAATAATCATGCTAAGCATATGTTATAATGTTTTCAGTATTCTATAATTATTAAACTTGTGTTTCCATGTATACAAACAAAAACAACAGTACAGTACCTGGGTGCAGTATGGGCATTCCCCAAAAAAATCGTTCATTTTTGGGGGGACGTTGGTAAGATTGCACAACCCACTGCAAAATGTCAATTAGTCAAAGGGTTTAATTATTTTATATCAAATCATCAAAAATATTTTGTCCATCCACCCTTTGTTAATAAAGTTTTAAATTTTAAAAATGAATAGAGAAAGTTTCCTCAAAGGTTTTTTTTAATGTCAGCTTATTTTTGTTTTTATTTACGGGGAAAAAAAAAAAGTAAAAAAAGGGAAAAAATCCTACTCTAAAACCCATACAAATGTAAGGTAAACAAAAAAGCCAGGAGAAAGGGGGCTGCAAACCCCCTTCTCCTGTATAAATTATTACATGTAAAAAGAAAACTTTTTTTTTTTTTTGGGACACCCGTTCAGTGAGCCGTCGGTGTTTTTTAAAAAAACAAAAAAAAAAAAAAAACAAAAAAAAAAAAAAGATCACTAGAAAACACAACCTATATAAGCACTGTAAGGGAAAGGGCCCTGAGAGCAGTGACCGGGTCAATTGGTAAGGCATCTTCCAAGTGAAGGGAATACACACAGCACATTCAGCACTCCACCCCTCGGCCTTCCTTATATCTGCCCCCTTTTTTTTAACCAACCACACCAAGGTTTGCTTTAATGCTCACAATGCTACGGTCGGGTTTCCCACCCCTAAAATAAAAAAACCAACGTTTAATCTCGATGCTATTTCACGTAAAACTTAAGGCAATTGGCAACATCAATTTGGGAAAAATAAAATTTTCATCCTATAGTGATGAAAGTCTTTTAATTATTAGTTTACATTATTTCCCCTGAAGATTATCCTCCAACTTAGTTTTAAAATTTAAATGGGCAAAAAATAAAAACTTTTCTTTCTTACTGCCCCCCAAAAGTATTGTAGCATACCCTTAGTCCGAAACTTTAAATGAAAAAATTTTTAAAACCTCGGTGGGAGACGGCAACTTGTTGAAAAAAAAAAAAAAATTATTTAACTTTGGCCTTTTCCTACTAACTTCATTCAAATAAAAATTTTTTAGGAGAAAACAAAATTAAAAGGGGAAAAGTATAGCAAGTCCAAAATTGATAACTAAGGAAGAGATTTGGAAAACAAAGTTTATTTTTTGCGCTTTGTAAAATCGACCCCCTTTTGAAGTAAATTGTTGTATTTCGTTTATGAAAAAGTGGGATATTTAATTTTTCTTGAAAAAAAAAAGCCTTAAAAAATACAGAAAAATTTATATATTCGGGTTATTTTTAACAATGCACTGTTTTCTTTTTCCCTTGGAGCCCCTCAAGGGAAGAAAAATTTATTACAATTAAATCCCAAAAAAATTGTTTAATGGACGGGAAAATCCCCAAAATTCAAAAAAAAGGAATTTATGTATATTTCAGCTCATCAAAAACATTTTTCACTAGATTTGCTTAAGTGTTCTGATTGTGGCTGAAACAATACAGCCCTTTTCTGTTTGTTATTTTTTTTTTTGCCTTGGGGTTTATCTTCCATGAAACTAAATTTTTCCCTTTCTTCATATTTCTCCGGTTTTAGAAAAGCGTTAAGAGGAGCAGTCCCCGGGGGAAGGGCCCCGAAAGGACATGCGGAGGCTGCGTGGGTAGCCACAGACACACCAGCTGTACACCACATGATTCCGTGCAATAAAAAAAGACAACTGAGAAGAGGTACTACAAACTACCCAAATGAGTGGAAACGGAAACCTGTAATTGTTTTGCACAGTGGTAGGACTTTGGTGTCTTTTCTTTGCTTTTTAAATACGCAAGAAAAGGTACATCTTGCTCTTTTTAATTACATTTAAGTCACCTACAAAGGGATGTACCACATAAAGTACACACACATCTGAGTTTTCTTCTTTTTTCTTAATATTTTCTGTTTTTATTTTTTTCCCTTTCATCCCATAGGGGAAATGGAAAAAAAATTTTTTCCTCATAAGCGATGCGTGTCGCAAAAAAAGGGAACTGAAATGCAGGAGCAAAGGGGCTAGTAATCCTTATGTATAAATTTTCTAAATACATAAAAAAGAAACATATAAGTGAACGTATTTAGATAAGGGGTAAAGAGGTCTTTGTGGGATTTTTGGATTGGAAAAGGAGTATGACAGGGTGGATAGGGGCAATGTGCAGAGTTGCAGGTGTTGGTGTAGGAGGTGGTTATGAAACAGGAAGAGTTTTTACGAGGAAGTGAGGCTCAAATTAAGTATGTAGAAAAAGGGAAATTGTTTCCCAGTAAAAGTAGGCCTTAGACAGGTGTGTGATGTCACCCCTGGTTTTTTTAATATATTTATAGATGGGGATTTTGAGAAGTAAATTGGGGGTCTTTGGGAAAAGGGTGGAGTTAAAAGATAAAGAAAACACAATAAATGGGAGTTGTCACAGTTGCTTTGTGATGCACGTGCCTTGGGAGTTCTGAAAAGAAGTTGCAGAGAATTTGGGGATGATTTGGTAGGGTGTGCAAAAGAAGAAAATTTAAAAATGAAAAACAGGAAAGGTAAGGTTAGAGGATAAAAAAAAAGTTAGGTGATGAAAGATTGGATATCAGATTGGGGGGAGGAGTATGGGGAGGTGAATGTATTCAGTATATGGGATGGACGTGTCACGGGATGGGTCTATGAAAGATGAGGTGAATCATAGAAAAGATGAGGGGAAAAGGGTGAGTGGTACCTAGGAGTTTGTGGAGAAAAGGGAAATTTGTCCTTGGGGGCCCAAAGAGGGGAATGTATGAAGTATGTTTTACCAATGCCTTAATGGGTTGAACATGGGGATGAATGTTGCGCGAGGGAAAGGGTGGAGGCATGGAGATGTCAGTCTGGGGAATGTGTGGTGTTGAATATAATGCAGAGAATTCGTTGTTTGGAAGTTAGGGGAGTGCGGGGTTACCAAAACTGTTGTAGAGGGCTGAGGGAAGGGTTGTTTAGGGGGTTCGGACATGTAGAGGAATGGGGGCGAAACGGTGACTTCAAGATGTATCAGTCTGTA